TTGGTCCCAGGTCCACCTACAGAATCTAATGCAATCCAGTACAACAGCAATTTTTTTTCTACCATCAAACATACACTGATCAGCCATAACATTATGAGCTCGTCTGTTGGACTGGACCAGCCTTCGCTCTGCACGTGCGTTAATGAGCCTTGGCCCCAGATGACCCTGTCGCTGGTTCACAGCAGCACCACTGCAGACCACTGCAGACCACAAGAGCTGCATTTTTTTTAGATGCTCTTACCCAGTCATCTAGCCATCACAATCCCTCGTCAAAGTCGCTCAAATCCTCACGCTGCCCATTTGTCCTGCTTACAACACATCAACTTGAGGACACAATGTTCACTTGCTGGCTAATATAGCCCACCTACTGACAGGTGCCACGATAACGAGATAATCAGTATTATTCAGTGGTCATAATGTTATGGCTGATTGGTGTATCTTTGGAATTTTTGTACAGATGTTCCTTGTAAATTATCAGCCCATTTATACACCATCTAAATTAGAGAGGTCTTGACTTTCCAAAGTAAAAAAAAAAAAATGACAATGAAAAAAAGAATACAGCTCCTTCAGAAGAAAAACAGACATGAGCGAGGCAATGGAAGAAAAAAAATTCTGCACAGAAATGAGAGAGGGGAGCAGAAAAGAGGAGAGTGCTTGCTGACCTTCACTGACAAAACCATTCACATCCTACTGCCAAGGACAGGGACTTAGACTCAAGCAGCCTGCCTCCATTACACACGCTTTGTGTTGCGTATTCAATTCACAAGTAAAATCAATTAACAGCTAGCCACCTGATTGATTGGAGCTAATTAATATGACCATGCAGGATGCTAATGGTCGTTGAGGGAGGTCTGAAACACCCTGCCAAACACTCACACTCCAAGGTCAAAACCACAGCAAATTTATGTTGTGCGGAGCCGGATGACAAAACAGCAGCCACTGTGCCACTGCCAGGGCACTCCACTGTATTGCCTGGACATTTAAGCCCTCGGCAAGTGCTGCAACAGTCAAAGTAGCAGGTGCATTATTATCTCATAAAGCTTGTTTTGCTTTTCTAGACAATGTTATTTGTAATTATTGAGCACAAGCAAGGCAGCAAAGCAAATTATAATTGATATTTGATTAAACAAGGAGCTTGTCTGAGTGGGTCTGGCCTATGAGCCACACAATGCCGAGATCCACTATTGAAAAGTGTCAGTGTTGCAGGCTGTGTGAGGGAAGGGGGATTTGGTGAAGGGACGGGAGGGAGGCAACGCATTAATTTTCAGTGTTTCCATTTTCAATTCTTTGGAGCCATATGGTGTGGCGTCAAGCTGGCAAAAGAACAAATAACAATTTGACGCCAGAGACCAGGACTCACAGCAGCGAGGTAGGAAAAAAGCAGAATACACCAGAGAGTGGGAAAAAAATAAAGAGCTTTTTTTAGTTATTTCCAGAACTGAACATATTGTGATTAGGCGTTGGCAATGTGATGAAATGTGTGAGGTTCGGAAGAGAAGGTGGCAGGAAGAGGGTACTCACCCTGTCACCACTTGTGAGACAACTGCCAACGGTGACAGGGCATTAATCAAGCCCTCGCATACACACATCCACGTACACAATGAGGGGAAGTTTGTATACAGACGCCATACAGCACAGCCCTATATATCCACTGTCAGTCATTCAGATGGCTTGTCTATTTACAAGCCGTCGCCTGGTCTACTGGCAAATTGAAAAATGTTTTTCTTAGAAGATAAACACAGTGAGAAGATTTGTTTTTGTTGGTGGCACAACTGAAATCAGCGACAGACCACTTGGGAATATTTCAGACATCAAATCTTGTGAGATTCAATCACATCTAGTTCTTCAGATGAGTGCATCTGATCAGCGAACTACAAAGGGCGCTGCCACAGTGGCATGAAAACAAAGATATCTCAGAGAGTTCTGCGCACAATATGACAGCTAATCAAAAAGAGGAGAGCTGTCAATAGGCTTTATGGACATTGGTCATTCTGCTGCAGTGCAGATGGATTATGGTGAGGGGGAGAGAGATGACTCAGTCTGTCAGGACTCCCATCTTCAACCCAGCAGGAGTGCTAGCCGATAATCGAAATCTCTGGCAGGGGTCATCGGGTTGACGAGTGTGCTTGTGTGTGTGCATTTAAAAAGAGTAGGGGGGGAGAAAAACAACAAAGACAGAAAAATATGTATAAAAATGAATTTGGGGGGGGTTGTGAGTAAGCAAGTGAGCTTTCCATAGTGTGATTGCTTCTATGTACGGAAAATTACAGACAGTTTACTGGGCAGCAGATCTGAAACTGCCCAGTGTTTGCCAGGCATTTGAGGCAGTCCTCAGCGATCAATTTCCCAGAGTGCCGCTGGGTGTGGAGACCCCTCCTATTTCCCATCACGATACTCAATAAGCGTCTGACAGGGCTCAGGCCTCTGGTCAGCTTCATTTCTCTGGGCCAACTGACTGTGACTCCTTTGTTCACACCAAAGTCAATGTCAGCCAGGGATGTTTCCAGCAGCGGGTCCCGAGGGTTTTCCAGATTATATTTTTTTAAGCACTTACTCGGTTCACTTGGATCTGACCTGTCGCATTAACACCAATAGTGTAGTATCCGTCTACATAGTGGAGACAAACATCATTGTCAAATCAACTTAAACTCTACTGTACTGTCACTGAAATCAGACCCAGGAGCCTCAACAAATGATTGACTGTTTTATAAAGTTTCATAATGTGATGCCTCTGTGTCTTACTAATCAGGGAAGTGGTGAGACCATAGTTTTGCAAAGCCCAAAAAACAACTGCTTTGATCCTACTTCGGCTCTAACATCACTCGACCAGGTTTAGCACTTGTGTTTTAGCATTTTAAATGAGACAAACAATTGCTCAACTGTCACATTTTTCTCAACAAAAACCTCACATTAAAATGTTTGCCTTTGTTTTCAGTTGAAATCATATTCCCTCTGAGGCATTGCAAGATGACACTAAGTTTAGACAGCATATGTATGGCTAAAACTTACTGCGCGGAAGATGCAACTCTTGAACTCCTAAAAAACAACTGTCATTTTAACAAAGATAACACAACAAGTTGCTCAAATTGTACGACTAGCTACAGTGGTAGATACTCATTTACCCTGAAGATGGAGTAATCTGGTGTAAGACAGCTAACCTACAGTTGGGGTAGAAAATGTATACTTATTGGGTATCGGGTCGAGCATTACAGCGATTTAATTTTTATTCTGAACATACTGAAACCTGTATTACCTACTTCTGATATCCTTATAAAGTTGATATGGTGAACATGCACAACATTATTCATTTGGAGTTGTGTTTTTGTCCACTTAACAAATGAAATTTAAAATATTTGCTCTCCTTTTTGCTCTGTTTTGCTCTCCAACAACTCCTGAGAATAATACGTCTCTGTAGCGGCTAAATGCTCCACTATGTTCACCAGCTAGTTGTTGCTGGGCAGGTAGTGTACAGTGGATTTATCAGAGCTTTTTTGCTGAAAACAGCTACTGCTGAGAACAACGCTGATGAGAGCGGTGAGAGTGAATCAAAAACAAAACAGTTGTGGAAAAACCAAAACAATGAGCTGAAAGACACTAAAACACAAACCAGCTTTGGGAGACTTTAGAGGTGGGAGATAATTTGCTGTGGATTCATCACTATGAATGACTACTTTTTACATACAAGTAAATAATAAGGGATGCATCTATACCACTTTTTTCAGACCAAATACGAGTACTTACATTTGGGTACTTGCCGGTACCAAGTGAGTGAGTAAGATATGAGTACTTCATTATACCATTACAGTTCTAACAATATTTTTTGAAAATGTATTTATTTTCATCAGATGTTCCTCACTTTCTGATAGTAACAAACTAAATGTTGTTAATGTTGTTGTTTGACTCATCCTGTGAGTGCTAGGAGAAGTGGGCAGCCACCATGCAGCGCCCAGCGACCAACTCCAGATTTGAGCCAGTGCCTTGGTGAAGGGCACTTAACCCTGAGCACCCTGAGGAAACCCACACAGATACGTGGACAAGATGCAAATTCCACACAGTTTGGTTTGGTAATGTACTGTACAATAACACGAAATCCATTTAAAAAAGCTTTCAGTTTGACTTTTTGTTTCAGCTTTAGCTGTATTGGATTTCACTTTGTTAGCTTCAACAATCACTACACATTTGGAATAACAGTTCTCTCACACAGTCTCAAGAAAACTGATTACCATAAAACTTCACAAACTTATTGAGGGGATACTAATGGATAATACTGTGTGGATGGTCTCATTAATGTTTCCACTCTCAGAAGTTTTAAGTATGGGTCTTTCATCGGCAGCTGAACCCCAAATGTAAGCAACACTAATGTCTGCTCTTGCCTGTGGCAAAGATTAATGTGACTTCTTTACTTTTCTGAGGCACAAGTTGAAGGGGAAGTACAGAAATAGTATTTTTAATAGGCTCATAATGGAAAATCTGAGAAAAAGCGACACAAGAACGAAGACCACCTACTTTGAATGCAGAGCACAGGTTCTAAAGGTGCAATGAGGAGGAATAGGTGTTCATTTGTGAAGGTCGGCCCGACTGAAAGCCACAATCCATTTGGGAATGAGGTGAATGCACAATTCCTCGCCACAATCCTGCCTATCCATTTTGCTGGATTTCACGGTGGCCCCTCCACATTGAGACCAGGAGGCACTTACATTTCACACTTAGAGCTGTCACCATGGAAACGACACAAAGAATCAGTTGGTGGATGTTGCACACAACTTTCTGTTCCGTGTCCAAATTAAGGACAAGCGTGGACACACTTCGAATAACAAAAACACAGGAGCACGAATAAATGGCTGCCTACGCAGAAGGCATGAAAGATGATAAAGACGAGAACTCAACGTTCCATTCGCTACTAAAATGGATGTTAAAAATGTTTGGATTATATTAACACAGGCCTGTTTGTGGGCTTTGAGTGTCCCCACCTGACCCTGGTGTTTGTATGGGTCTCCTACCTGATGGATGATCTCAGACACCGGCAGCTGGTCCACATACGAGTACTTCCTTATTTGCAGCTCTCCATTCACAGGACTGAAAGACAAAACACACACAAGACAGCGCTCTATGGCATTTACCTGAAGTAAGTAAATTGCACTTTGGAAACATTAAGCTTTTGTTATGTGGGACGTCATTATTCACTGATAAAGGAAAGCTGTCAGGAAGAGGAACAGACTCCAGTGTTTCTGTTGGCAGTGAGAGTGTAGCCGAGGTGTGCGTGACTGACAGAACATTTCAGAGCAGAGTCAATGATATGCAGTGCAAATTGATGCAAATGAACCAATTTTTTCCTCTTGATGAATGAAAAAAAAAAATCATCCCGTGGAACCGTTAAGAGAGTAAAAAACATCTTGTCAATAATGGAAGTGATTGGAATGCATCCTGTGCATTTCACTAGAAAACTCTAAAGCACAATATAGAGAACATACAGAAAACACAAAGTGATACTACGCCTCAAATCTATCTTTTGAGCAACCTATCACCTCCTTTTTTACTGTAACAATTTTAGAGGTGTTAATATAGCTCCAAACTCCCAGGCCCTCCTAACTACCCCCGATGCACTCTGGGTAATTTTCTTTCTAAAACCCAAGTGAACATCAATGCGGCAATCAATGAAAGTTTAGAGGGAGCTTCAGAACTTCAATACTCATATGGGATTGGTGTTATATTTGTTGAACAAGTAAACAACGAAATACAGCTAATGTTGATGCTACACAGCAAACATCAGCTCTCCACGGCGTCTCATCCGCCTGAAGATTTTACAAACTCCTAGCAGTATGCGGTTGGTGCATCGTCTTGGCAGCTCTTTGCCACTTTAAAGAAATATAAATATATAAAGCTTCAGCTTTTAGTGTAGCATGAGCAGTGAGGCACTGAACTGCCTGAATTCACAAGACACATTGGAAAAACGCTTTCCAGAGGGTCAACACAAAGCATGCAGAAAAGGGAGAGAATTTCATATACTCAATATGTGCTCAGATACTGGCACTCAGTGACATAAATGAACCATAAAAGGCTTAGACTGGCCAAAACTCTGGACTGCAACGTGTTTCAAACTTAGATAAAACCCCAAATTACCTAAATCAGTCAGTACTACCAACATTGGGTGTTTATGATAAACACGTTAACATGGTAAACTCCACCAATTTAGTATTTAAATCCTATGACATTGTCAGACTCACAATGGACACTTTAAAGAAGTATCAAAATAGATGCAGCACAACCAGAAATATTTTTATATTCCACTATTCCTTCTTCCTTGTCGAAACCTGGCGCCCACATTCCCCACAACGCGACCCAACCACAACAGTTCAGTAGAAGATTCTTCTGTGTTATGCTAGTGGCGGCTAATGTAGCCTCGAGGTGGTAGCCTGCAGCAGAGATGAGGAGCTCATTTCTCCAGGGACATCACTTGAGGCATTTTATCAGACTTCACGCAGCTCCCTCTGGGGCCACAAAAGGCTTTATACAATTAGTGAACTAGTACTATCCTATACCCTGTAAATGGACTTTGATGGACGGAGCTCTCCTTTAAGTACTACAGCGTATCAGTTGGGTGGCAGATTTTTATTAAACATGACCAAAGAAAACCGAAATCTTGTGAAAATCATGGATTGTAGAGGGAACCATGTATTTGTATTTAAGAGTTGCAGTTCTCTACACCTATCACGAGAACTTAGTAACTTAAGCGGCATACTGACGGTTATTGATTAGTTTTGTATGTGTTTTCTAAGCAACCGAGTATATGACTGCAGAGGCTCAGGTAAAAAAAAAAAAAAAAAAAGTTATTAACACTCAGTTGAAAACCTTTTATGTGTATCCTTGTATCCAGGGCCAGTATACAAAGATTAATAAGCAGATGTTAGGAGAAAACTGCTCAGTGTTCTGGGCCTTTCATTCTTTTAGGAAAGCTGACTGTGAAACATGTGAATCGTGGGTTAGGAATAAACCCATTTACATTTAAAGCATTGAACTAATGCTCTTAGCTACAGCAACGTATAATAAAGCAAGCTGTGTCTCGCTCAAGGACACTGAAAAAAGGTCACCACATGGCAGCTGATGGATAGACATTAGTAAATGTGAGACATGTGTATTAAACCTGTGACCTTTCAGACACAGAACACACAAGGCTCTCTTGCTTCCACTGATGTCCAAAAACTATTAAAAAAGCATTAATGAGACACACACAATTCCACATACACTGTGCTGCTGCAGTAAAAACTCACTAGAGCACCAAATCTGCATCTGAAAATAGTATCGCACGCAAATAGACAATTTACTCCTGTTATATTTTGCTAAACAATTCAGTGCCCAGCTGTGTGAGGCTTAATTACTGAGTCTTTTAAAAAATAAAATGAATGGGCGTGGGGATGAGAGCAACAGACAGTCTGGAAAGTCTGAAAGTATTCAGCAGCACACAAGGTCATTGTTGATTTTGTTTTTTAGCAGGGTTTTGTTGACAGTAACAAAAATATCACCTGATGTAGCCTTTAGAGCTGGAGTCCAGGACTTTTTACGCTTGAATGAACGTGTTTTTACATTCAAGCCGTTGCCAAACAAGTTCACACAGTGCTGATCAAGCCTATTACTGAAAAGGTAAATCTCTCTGTATTTCGCAGTAAACTGGAGTTTTAAAATCTGGTCTCTGTGGCGTCATTTCCACACTGGCGCACCGGTAGTGATCCAATTCAAAGTCCTTCTCCTCACTAACAAAGCCCTCCATATCCAAGCCCCCTCCTACCTCACTGACCTACTCCGTCGCCCCACTCCTTCCCAAAGCCTCCGCTCTTCTGATGCCAACCTCCTGTCTCTACCACTCAGGACCAAGCATCGGACCTGGGGTGACAGAGCCTTCTCCGTCGCTGCTCCCTCCCTCTGGAACTCTCTCCCCAATTACATCTGAGACTGTACTGATCCATCCTCGTTTAAATCACTAATCAAAACCCGTCTTTTCAGAACTGCTTTTAATGTGTGATTGATTGTTGTGTGCCGTATACTTTTTTAGTGTGTTGTTTCGATTTCGTTTTTAAGCCTTGTATTTTAACTCATGTGAAGTGAGTAACATGAAAAGTACTTTATGAATAAAATGTATTATTATTATTATCATTATATTGGCAAGTGGGTTCCCACATTAAACATACAGTGCAGAAAAATGTCTGTCTCCAATCTACTTGACCACAGCATTACTCTCTGATATTAGCTCTATTCAATGTTGGCAATCTTTACCACTAAGTGATTAATTAAAACTTAAAGGAAATATATGAGATTTAGAACATTACTATAGCAGAAACCGAACAGAACACATAGAAACAGCTGTTTTCTATGTAAAGATATAGTAGAGTCACAGTGTCCTGAGCTGAGAATGACACCACACTCCCTCCCCCCGTGCTGCTATTGCCTCTCAGTGGTTGGTTTACACAGCCTGTCTGCTCCGTGTACAACCGAGGAGAGAGACTGAAACTGCTGTTTTTCTCATCTATGTCAGAGAATTAAGGGTTTATTTCATCCAAAGCAGAGTTTGTGATTGTTGCAATGGTGGAAAGACCAACAAAGACTGTTTTGAGCTTCATTTTGTTTCTATCCACTTTGAATTAAGTTAAAAATGTTACAAAATTAGCCATCGTTGTTGTCAATGAGTCTGGTCGCGAGTGATAGCAATAATAAGGCTGTTTCTGGTTAAAATAAATGACTGATCTTTGTAGGGATCGTTCCCATAAAGTTGTCAGACACAATCTGAGCCAGTCAGTGGCAAAAACAAGCACTTTCAGTATTTGAACAGGCGCATTTGTCCCCAAGAATTAATGTTAGCTCACGTTGTGGCCATTTTCATGAATACTGTCACATCTAACTTCGAGAATTAATGGTTTATTTTGACCCAACCAGCATTGGTAATTGGTAAAAGACTAACAAAGTTGGTTTTGGTGAGTTTTATTTTGTTTCTGTCCCATTGTTTTTGTCTGATTTTCTGGTGCTCTAGTGCGACAAGTGAATTTTTGTGTAAATAACCTTTTAATTATAACACTGGGAAACATCCTAACCACCATCAGTACAGTATTAACTAAATTGCTTGAAGGTACCCTTCACCTTGAAAAAAACTAATTTGCTCTCAAGGACATAACGCTGCAACTGAGGACAATTTGGTCCCCCTTTGTTGCTTTCTTGGAATGATGATAAGTGGATGATAAGTCATAATTCTTTATCAGACAGCTCTTGGAGGATCAATCTAGAGTGGCTACGACTAGGTACTGTTTTTTCATCTTTTTTTTATGAATTATTTAATTTATAAATTTTCCTTTAGATTTTTTTTTTTTTTTGTTTTATTCAATTCAATTCAATTCAATTCAATATTTGTATAGCGCCAATTCAGCCAGAAGTTACTCAGGACACTTTTAAAATAAAGGTCTAGACCGAACCTTTATAACATTTTAACTGTACACTCTTAACTGTGCTAACTACGTTGTATTGTGGTTATCATGTTCTGTGTTCTTGTGGGAAACTGAAACGTACAACTGTGTCAACTTTGTGAACACTTGCAGAACTACAATAAAATTGCATATGACACAAAACAGTCAATTGGCCAATACACCTAACAGTTCAAACACAATCGTCAATCCCCTTCTAACAACTTGGATCCACCAACACGTTACATCTTCCACGGGCAGTTTCGAAATCACTGTCTGCTCCCATATATAGCTTCTTTTCTTTCTTGTTTTAAAGACCGTTTGTCTCCAACATCACAGTAAGGAAGAGAAGCCTCAGCTAAAGGTCGCTGTCGAGAGGAGGTTCAACTGAGTGGCTGTCTTTGGCTAATCAAAGAAAGTTCAGGTCAGACAGCTGCTGACAAAGTGGGCCTTATCCTCCAGTGAACCAGCATGGCTCTCCTCCAACCACTTGCCGTGTGAAGCAACCGGTTCTCCTTTTTACTCTTTGTCTCTTTCTTCTTTCTGAGCATCTTCTGCTCAACATTTTTCTGCCTGGCTTTCGCTCTTTTGCCCTTCCTTCTTTATTTTCCTGTCTTTGTCCCTTTCTATTCAACTCCCACTCTCTGCCCCTTCTCTCTTCTCACCATGTGTCTGCGCAGGAGGGCAGAAGTTGCTCTTACAGACAGGAACACAGAAGGAAGAAAACAGGCTGGGAGACAATCTCCCACTGAGCCCTCTATGCGCTCCGAGCTCTTTCAGCCACTGGAAACAAGTCACTGAGAGCACCGACATCTCACCGTCGATTGCACCCTTTTTCACTTAGCACAAGAGATGAGCTCTAATTCAATTCAAACCACTTTCCACTTTATTTTCCATAAAGAGATTTTTGGAGAGGATTTTTCAATCCACTTAGCTGATTCTAATGGATGTGACTGCCCCTCCCCACCTTCCCCACCTCCAGCTCTGGTATCACTGCTGTCTCCAGCTGCCATCTTTAGGTCAAACAAATTTCCTTTTAACATCTGCTCTACTAATAGCCAAAGTAGTTTTTGTAGACTCTATCCAGCGCTGCAGGTCACAAATTAGATTAAATTTACTGTACAACTCAATGGCACATTATTTCAGCTTTTAATTTAATAGTTGTTACTATCGTGGGAGTCTTGTAACCCGAATGAAGACATGTTTTGGTCAACAAGCACCTATGGCTGGAAGTGAGAAACCAGACAATGTCATTAGTCTGTTAAGCCTATGTATAATGGAGAGGACTGAGGGGGTCCATTAAAATGTCCTCTCCATCAAGAGCAATTCACTTAATGGAAGAGCCTCTTCTGAGGAAAAACTGCCGTTTAGAAACAGCTGAGAGGAGAAGAGAGCATAAGAGTGGCATGAGAGCAAGAGAATGACAAAGAGACAGGCGTTACACATTTGAACACATATGTACCCATCTCCTCTAAATATCCTCCTCCACTTGTCTGAGTGGCCGAATGAGCTGACAAAAGTGGATTAAAGCAGCACTATCTTTAATAACAGCTTGTTTCAGAGGACATCTGTGATCTTTTCTCTGTGCAAACACACAGGGCTCACTACAACCCATTTTCAGGTCTTATGAAACGCTATTATTAAGTAAACTAATAGCACTGGTAAATTTATACCAGTGGTGTCCAGACAGGGTTCTCATAAAGATCCTGTCTGTCATCTCTCAGTGAATTCTTTTCTTCTTTTTTTTGGGTGATGATCTTTTGATTTATTACTCTAAGTTAAGTAGGATGAATACTGTAAACACGGCTGCAACTAACAATTATAATCAACAGATTATCAGTAACGAAACTAATAATCTGCTGATTATTTTCTCATTTAACTGATTGTGAAAAAGATAAAGTGTAAATTATAATTAGAACCTAAGGTGGCAAATGGAAATTGCTTGTTTCAATCAACACTCTTAAACCCAAACATATTCAGCTTACTATCATATACGACACAGAGAAGCAGTGAATCCTCACATGTGAGTGTTTGGTATTTTTTCTTGAAAAATGACTTACAGGATGATTCGATCGAAGGTTAATTTTCTGTGGATTGACGAATCCAATAAGTAATTATTTCATCGCTACTGGTAAGTGATTTTATTCTCATCTAGAGTGTGTTAAGTTTCATCCCATAGTTCAGTAATAATTACAGCCCACATAAATTATCGTATTTTTGGCACACTTCCTGTTTTTAATTTAAGCCCAGAGACACTTATATTATATTATATTTCTGCCTTTTTGTGCATAGAGATAGATTTTTTGGCTGAATGAAGAAAACATTTTTCCTAACTCAACAGATGCCAGCTTGTTGACAACAACATTCAGTCAACTCATATGATGAAGGGAAAAAACATTACACGACCCTGTAAGAGTGTCAAACGGGCTATTTTAATTTATTTACAGGTGACTCGGCCGTGGCTAAACTGCTTTTGTGTATATATATATATATATATATATATAGCCTGACTGCTATTATGACAAGTGCACTGCACACATTAACACCGGCAAGACTGTCACATTCTTAGATTTTTCTCACAATAAATATTAACATTAAATGACATTATTTGATAAGCACTCTGGTGATGAGGTCAATGGTCATGGTTTTCCTTCAGAATATCCTTGTTTTCCAATCCCCTCTCAATGTACAATGTTATAAGCACAGCAAATATTCTATTACCCACATCACCATGTAATATTAATCTCATCCAGCTCTTAGCGCTAACGACACACAAAAAGACAGAAGGTGTCGTTAGCCTCCCTAATAACTTTGAACTTTCACAAAATAGTTTTCTATCATTCTTGAAAGTAGAAAGTCGCTACTCGTGCCTTGCTGCATCAGTAAACGTAGCTCCATTAAACATCAAATGAATGAGGGGATTGCTGGTTTCTTACATCAGAATTGGAGATAGAAAGCCTCTCTCTAGGACTGATTTAGGGCAACAGCCAGCTCGATAACACTGGTGGTGTGTTTCTGTGTTGCATTGGGGATCAGCAGACCTAGTGTGTTGGCCCTAATCAATAATAAAGTAATAGGGGAAGTTGTGTGAAATGACTAACTAGCCAGAGGCCAAAACAGCCGATGACTAAAATCGGTGTGGCAATTGCCTCTAATTACTAATTAGCAGCCAACCACATTAGATTCTTTCACTATAATACCTCCCAGTGGTACAATTAAATCCTAGCTTAATGAAATTATTAGAAGTGGGGAGGAGTGTAATCATGAATAAAGTTTTAATTTCCATCACGTCTGTTTGAACAGCACCACAATCTATTCCTTACTCGGTCAATATGTGGAGGGCTGTTAGTATTTTGGTGCATTAGCTGTGTGTTTCCTGAAACTCTGTTGATTGTGCTTATTATGGGATTAGTGTGTCTGGGAACGGGCTAATATGAGAAGGCAAACAATATGTCACCAGTTACAGAGGATGCTGAGCAGATCCTGTTTGACAGCTCTCTACAGCCATCTAGTGGCCAAATGTATTAGTCACAGTATTTATCAACCTGATGCAATGAGAGAACATACTTAATTTGACTTGGATGCATTGTCAAAGATTCACCACAGGGTGGCGCCACAGATAATCCATTAGAAACACTGCTGCTTCCTTAATGCCACTTATGAAAAGTTACTGAATTATAGCCTGAAGCCAGACAAGTAAAAAGGCCGATTATGATCTCCACTCTCCTGTGAAACAGAGCATTAAGTGGTGGTACGGATTATAAATAGCAGTAAATAATATCTAAATAGTTATATTATTACCTCAAACAATCGTGTTATTGGGCAGCCTCGCTATCAATCCACAATCTCGATTTACTGCCCAGGACTACCGGGTAGTCATAGCGACATCTCCCAGAAACAGGCCACTCAACACATCATTACAAGAGAAATCAATATCACTAATGTGAGATGTTCTAAATAGAAATCGAAGTCCAGTTAGTTGGGAACCAAACATAAAACGAATACGCCCTGCAGCCCTTCAATTAAAACAAAGAGAAGCTGACCTCAATTAAGGTTTTTACATCCAGGTTGTCGCTAATCCACCTCAGAAATGACTTCAGTATAGAGATAAATGTAACAGGATTAGACTTATTCTATGCATTATTATGATTTTGCAGTGCATTATAATGTCATTATGTTTTTCATTTCTTCCCTAATATAGAAATAAATAGTAAAGTAAAAAACATTAAAAGAGAAGGTTTTTAAAAGATATTTAAAAAGGTAGAAACTGATTTATAAAGCGAGCAGACTGTTCCTTTGATGAAAAGGTCAGTCTATCTTTAGTAGTCTACCGTAAGTCAGGTTTTCAGACCTTGGAGAAGACACTTATTGGCTTATCAAAGGTGCTTTTGTACATGTATCGTATTGAAAAGTAAGCATTGCGTCCTAATTAAGCTCGGCAACTTTACTTAAACAAAAAAGACTGAAAAAAACACTTTATGATGGATTTATATATTTTAGTTACTGTGATGTAAGAAATTAAAATAACAACAAACAAATACACTCAGCTTACCTCTGCTCCACTTGCTTGATGGGGTCGGTCAAGTTGATGGTTTCCATGGTGATCTCAACTTTGCGGACACTACCAAAGAAATCTGTGATGAGGACACTTCCTGGGTCCCTCAGAAAAAGGTCAGTACGGTGGCCCGGAGTGGACACACACTGACTCTTGGGACATACTTTGAACTGGGGAAGCAGAAAAAAACACAAGCAGTGTATTAGTAATATGCAGTTTAGTGCCATAGAGGCATATGGTATGTATAGTATGGTATTGTGTGAATAATATAAATATCTACTAATGGTGGTGTCAGGAGCTTCAGCTAAAATAATTACATGAAACAGAAGAGTTTAATACTCAGACACTGTTTCAGACTTTTCATGCCACAGACAGCGAGCTCCAGCTAGCAACCAGCTGCATCCAACATGGCTAAAGCTGCAGTGGGAGGTGTTAAACTATGTGACAGTGTGTGGAGATTAGACGCACAGAGCCTGACATTTGTGCACGTCATCGTCAATTACAAATCTTTCTGTGCCTGGTATGTTACCACTTGTGGGTTAATCCTCTTACGTGTGTGATTCACCAATGAAAATAAAATAAAATCATTAAACCCAAAAGGGAACGTTATCTCGATCAGCCAAAAAGGGACTTGAAAAACACAGGATTGGTGGAGGACTTTGTTGGGAAGGGGGAGGCAATTTCTGTTCCATCAAAGGGCAAGGCTTTACAGACTGGATTTAAGAAAGAAAAAAAAAGAAAACTTGGTGAGCTCGTCCGGGGAATCCATAGTATTGATCCTTAATTCCACAAAATAGCACAAGAACAAAGAATGCATCTTCAGAAACAGGAAAATTGGAAAGAATAATAAGCTTTAGTCAGAGTGCATTGATTGAGCTCAGACTGAGTGGCAGAACAAGGATTTGCAGTATTCTGAGTGTAACTCCTGGTGAAGCAGGGTGGGTGGTTGGGATGAGGAGTGGTCCCTGGAGCTACAGTGGATCTCTGCAGGAGTGTAAAAGATGAAACGGGAGGTGCTGCTGAGATTGAGCTACCGCCTGGAGCAGCATGTACTCACCATCACCACCGTCATGTGTCAAAGGCCAACAGACTTAACACAGTATCAGACATTCTGCTTCAAGTGCAGAGTCCTGTGTGACTTTTATCTGTCTCTTTTAGGACCAGAAACTGTGTACTACACACCAGACAGATGATGACGACAGTGCAGGACAGATACTGTCTCACTACTATAGGTACCAAACCCCAAATGCTTTCACAGGAACTGAGCCACTCTAGCACAATCCAAAGGTCACAAATAAAGTTTCCTGCATGAATATCTGTTGTATTCTTGAGCTCCAACTAACATCTATTTTACAACAATTAATCTAACAATATGTTTGGGGTTAACTGATTAATACTTATCAAGCTAGTGCTAATAAATACTCAGTATAAAACCTGCAAGAATCAACTCATTTGAGAAGCTGGATCCAGTGAATGTTTAGCATTTTTGTGCTTTTATAAATAACTGATATGATTAACAATGATCAGAACTGTTGTTTCATCACTATTTTACCAAATTGGAGCTTTAAAGAACCAGTCTGTAGGATTTAGTAGCATTTAAACTCTAATAACAATTTTTACTATTTTCTGACATTTTAGAGACTATACAATGAATCTATTAATATAAATAACAATTGTCAGTGAAAATAAGCACTAGCACTCTCTGGAGGTGTGCACATAAGCACACACACATCCTTACCAGGTCATTCATGTTGGTTTTGCTTGCAGGGTGGATGTCCTCCAGGAACTCCAGCAGGTAGAAGGTGTAACGGTCCATCAAATGGACTCCTATGGCCAAATCTGGCTGGTGCTAGAAACAGGAGGACAAAAATAATAATAATAAGAATATTAAATATTCATCAGCACAGGTGTTTTAGTGGCATCCCCCCCTGTTTTTAGACACTGGACACACTGGAAATGGTTTTCTTTGGATTATCAAAACAAGTCATCTCTCTCAAATAATTCCACTGAAAGTCTGGCTTTGTGATTGACAGCCAAATTAATAAATGACCAACGTAAGATGTTAATCATTGTAACTGCACTTGTTTTGAGTTTATGGGAGGAACTAAATTAGTGACTAGTGGTGGCAGGGCGCCATAATGCATGACTACCATCACCTTAAACTACAGTGGTGTTAATGTCTTATGCTTTACAGACACAGAGCTGAAGAACTGGGCTCATTTTGTATTCAGAGATGTTGTCAGGATGAAATAAATAGCACCAACACTAATTGCTGGGTAATGAAGTCAAAAATATTTTGACAACTTCTCTATAAACTATTCCACTTTCACTTCACCCCTAATCAGTGAGAGTGTAAGTATCTAATGACATGTGACTGGGGTGTCATTCTGTAGTGTGGAGAGGATACAGATGTCAAAAGCACATCAGGTTTCAGTTTTAATGTGTCCTGTGGGACCAGTGGACAAGTATGCAGTTGGGGAAACGAAAGAAAATAAAAATATCAAAATCGTCATTTGTATAATGTAATTTGGTGTAATATTGTGTGTAAATGTACCAAAACTGAGTCCTTGCTCCAGCAGCCAGGGAAAAATACCCCAAAAAGACTCCAAAATGCAGCCCATTTAGGTTTACTGCTCACTGTTGAGCAAACAATTGAGTGTCCAATACATAGGGAATAGTAAGACAGGGATAGGAGAAAGCTTCTAATTTCTAGCTGTTGACCAGCAATTTACCGGCTGCTTACTGATGAGTTTTTAATGTTTCCAGCTGAGTCGTTTTTTAAAACAAGAAAGCTTTATGATAAAAGACTGAGACTGAAGCTAGCTGTCCCAGGCAAAAAGATAATAAACAGAAGAGCAGCCTTGTCTTGCATGCCAGTGTAGAGCTAGTCAGTCCTGGTTTTATTAGTATAATAAAGAAAAATCACACTGATATTTGGCTTCAACGTAATGCTGTTTGGCTGCTTAGCTTACGATATTAAGCAGGTGTTCAGCTTCATTGTTTCATTGTTTTCCCCAAATCCAATAAATATCCTTTATACATGGATATAAGGAGAATTTGTATTATGGGGTGAGTAAGTATGAACATAGCTTTGTCTTCAGCTGCAATGTGCTATCAAAACCACAGCGCTTATTAGAAAACTGATTGATGATTTTTAATTTATCTCCCTGATATGAGGGCAGGTGACTCACCGACAGAGAGTCCTCTCCAACTTGACTGCTGGCCAAAGCCATGAGGTTTGGAGAGTAGAACCTCTCATACATGGAGGCGCCCTGACAGGTGTCAATGATGAAGAGCAGCTCATTGTACCTGGAGACACACACACAGACACACACACACACAAAAAACAAAAAAACACAACACACACACAACACACACACACACACACACACACACACACACACACACACACACACACACACACACACACACACACACACACACAAGATCGTGTACATTCTTGAACAACGAGAGAAGACACAGCTGGCATATCACTCGTCCATTTATTCCAATAAAACCTGGTGTCACACAAACCTTTTAACCATCTTTCATATTGCAGTTGCCATGGCGACCAAGAACAGCTTCATTCAGTCCCTCTAAAAACACCCACGCACAGTTTTCTCCCTCTCTTCCTCCCTTCCTCCGTCTAATAAAGAGAAATTTCACCTAAACTTTTTTTCTTCTGTTTAAGTAAACATGATAAGATTTTCATATCCAGTCGACTGAATTGCGGCGGTTTGGGGACGAGGAAGGGACCTGGCCAAGTCTCTATGGTGACTCTAATTTGGCAGTTCAAGCCTGCAATTATCACATCAGCATCAAGGCTGGCGTTACTAAGCTTTTATCTAGCAGCCTGGGGTAACTGACTGTAACCCAGACACTCTCTATTGATAGGTTTGGAGGACAATAGAGACGCTGGTAGCAGAAAGCCCCTTTTGCTCATTTAGTGTCTTGCGATTCACAATTTAAGCACAGCAGCAACTGAAAAGGCAACGGATTCCCTTTATAAAAGAGTTTATAGAAGTGTCTGTCCTTCATAAGAGGTTGTGTTAATATATGTATAGCAGTTATTCCCCTGCTGTTACAGTGGCATATGATGTGTTATGTTAGTTTCACAGAGCATCTATGGAAACGTTCAAGGTAGTTTCAGAATTCTGTTAAATACTTTATACAAAGCTGTTATAATCAATATGTTTATATTGAGAATGGATCAAATGACATTTGAAAGGGCTCCCTCATAGTGAACCTATAGAGATTATCCACATATTCTGTAATTCCCCGCAGCTCCATGCAGCATTTCAGAGTCTTTCAGCTCATTGTTTTTTGTTTTTCAGCCGGCAACTTTACTGTTTTGGTTCCTCCTCACTGCTCTCGTCACATTCGTTTTCAGCCCTGTTGTTCATGTGTGTTAAGGCCCCTGTGGCATCATCATTCATCCCAAAAAGCTTTTTTCACCGACATCTTCTGGTTGAAGGTTTGTAGTAACACTAAGGTGTGTGCTTTTGCACTTGTAGCCACATCAAACAGCTATTTCACTGTGTACTGACCACACCTTGAGTATACATCACTACCGCATCACTGGGTAGTGTATGAGCGAAGGGCAATTCTGTGCCATCAAAACAGTGTATTTTCTATTTCCCTGAATCCTTGTGTTCCATTAACAGACCATCTTGTCCAGAGAAGTTCCACCGGAAGATGTTTTGTACGCATAGGTTGCTACGTTTCATGCTATTTAATGTTTTTTGACATGCTGCACAGCTAATTGGCCCTCATGGGAAAACAGGGAAGTGGACTCACAGTAGGAGAAAGACACAGTATTTGATGTCACTTCAAAAGACCCTTTTCCATCTTATCCCTATATCATTTTCCAGTTTATTTACCTTCTTTTCTGCCACATCTGCTCAAAAGCATCGGCCAGTTCCACATTACTAATCTCCTCAGAGTCCTGGAACTTCAGAAAGCCGTTCCCGCCATGGCCTGTTAGAGAGACACGTTTTATCAATATCATCACATTATATTAATTCATAATGATTCATAATGCAAAAATATGATATAGAATGGAAAATTGCCAGATGAAACATGAGAAGGACTGGCTGGCAGCTGTTCACACTGTTTGGTAGAAACAACTGAAACTCTGCTACAGCACAGAGGACTGTGGCTCCATTCAACCACAGATGAATGAGATTAAATAAGTGTTTGAAAAAAATAGATCGTTTTAAACTATATATATCTTTAAAACAGATCACAAGACTGACACATGACTCGCAAGACACGATAAAGCACCAAAGTACTGCAGAAAATATGCTCTGACAAAAACACAATATATATATATATAAAAATGCAGCATAATTTTTTGGGCCTTTTGGCGTTCACTTTGTTGAAACAGTCAGGAATTGAGAACCAGATTGAAATTGTCCAGTCCATTGGAATCGTGAACCTCAAAGCTTATCAGCTCCTTTATCAATGCCAGGGGGTTTTTCTGACAGTTGCACATTGCAAAACAATGATGTCACACAATGGCGTCTCTGCTGCTGGAAACAGGTTGAGTAGATTTTTTATTTGACTAATAAAACCTGAAAGGGAAACAATTGCTCTACAAATATTCTTTCTTTCCATCCATTTTACATGATGACAGATAAGACTGTTGCTACGGTTAGCTCTCAGACTACAGCCTTTTATTCTGCTCTGCTTCTACACTGTGTTCAGATTCAGAGATGATAAAACAGAAAACCTGCGTACGCCTCCTTTTTTTTTTTTCTACACACAGAAAATTGACCAGGAATCAATAGGAGTATCGATACAGAATCAGACCAATAAGCAGAATCAACAACAGCACTGGAATTATCTTCTGAGCCAACTTGATTGTTTTGAGGAGTTTTTTCTCATTCGTAAACAGGACTTACCAAACACAGACAACCTTGAGCCGCCTTTAGATACTATACGAGTACCCCAAAATGCAAATAAGTCTAAGTAGTGCCATACTGTCACTGTTTCTTGCTCTTACTATGTAGCATTTCCTGCAGTGTTTTATAGTGGAGGTGGGAGACCTCACATAAAACAAAGACCAGCTCTGCTGTCTTCATAAAAGTGAATAATGACACATTAATCTTTAGAGAAAAATAGATACTGTAGGAAAAGTTCATACACACACAAAATAAATTGCAATGCTTCATCCCTAAAATATCTCCTAGCACTGAACATTGCACACTAATGAAGTATAAGAGTGTAAGTGGAGTATGTGAGTGTAGATTTGACCTTTAGTTACCTGTCAGGTATATGAGGATGTTGCTCCGGTCATCAGAGAGGAGGCGTTTTGAGCGAGGAGTGCTGGGCGGGAGCCTCCCAGTCAGAACACGCAGGAAGTTCTCAACTGTTACCTGAAACATTGACAGGACACAAAACAGGTTTTCATAACCTAGCATGGACTGGAAGGGATAAATTATACAATGTACATCTTCTTACTAAAAGCACATAGACAGTAGGGCTGCACAATTAACTAAAATATTATCCAAGTTATTATTCCCACATAATCTGTCAAAATAATTTGCAACGTGATGTTTTTTACCGTATTGTGCAGCCCTGATAGACAGAAGTCTAATAAAACAGTGAGACTGGGACTGTCAAAAAACATAATTTCACCAGTCAAAACAATAACCCATCTCACAAACTAAACTTTTCATCTGCATCAGTAGGGTCAAAACAAGGTAACTGCTCTACTTATCTTTTAATTAAACTGTGAAAGTCGATTACTCATTGTATTCTTTTCTTATTTTTCTCCTTTGTCAGCTTTTCTTGCATGTGATTACTGTTTCACAGCAAACATGGATTTGGCAGTGCTGCGTTTATTCATATTTAAAAGACCAGCACAAAGAGAAGTAAATAATCAAAAACAAACAGTGATAAAGAGTGGATACACCAGTGAGGCTCTGCTTTGCCATAACAAACAAAACACGTGGGTGCTCCTCTATTTGAGAATGCATTGGATATCAAGTCATTTCCTGCTCAACACACAGAGCAAACACTGGACAAACAGTGTCGACCTTAGCCCCCTCCACTCCCCTCCTGCACCTGCATAATATCTGATGTTATATGTATAGTTTTTATAAAGCAGGTAAAACATTTTATTTTGTTGTCTTACACACCCTTTTACCAGTCCTTTCCTTTAAGGATATAATATGTAACATTTACATATTAAAAAACACACAAAAAACACGAGATCTATGTTATATATTTAGTTGAATTGTTCACTTACATCATCCCAAATGTTTCCAACAATATTCAAACTCAGAGATAATTTTATTCAGGTAAAGGCGTGTTTTACCAGTCACCTGTCAATGGAGTCAAATTCTCTTTGTGCATATGTTGTTGTTGTCTGCCATAACTTGACTCTTTATCCAGTCTTAAGCCACATTATTACGATACAATTTTGTAGATCTTGGTTATTTTTAACTATATATTTTAATTGGATAAATGATCGACGTTAGCAGCAGCTCGGAGACCAGGAGAAGCTGACTGTTCCTAACATTTAAAAGCAGACATGCTGGTTCAAAATGTAACCAGTGCGGTAAGAATTTACTTTGCTTCCAAGAAAATGTCATAATTTTGATCAGCCATCAAAATACCGTCACCTGGAAAATGTACTGAACTGTGTTTTTTACACAATTTAAACACATTGTAAAAAGATTAACTGACCTACTAAGAAAGACATTTTTATAGTTGTGTGTGTGTAACTGCCTGACTGCGATGTGAACCAACCTCATATCCTCGGTAGTCCACCTCCACATCGTCACCGTACACATTCAGCTCCATGTTCTTGTGGCTAAACACTGTGGCGGGTTTGGGGTTTCTGTGGTTACAAGCCATGTCGTCAGCCAGCATGAGAACTATGTGGCTTGAAAAAGAGAAAAAAAAAAAGTGTTTGTGTTGTCAACAACATGTTGGAGTGCTATGTTATGTAGTTAAATACCATTAGTGTGAGGTTGAGGTACTTTACATTGCAGTCATATTGCAGACACTTTTGTACAAAGTGGCCTACATTTGTTTCTTCCACACACACACACACACACACACACACACACACAAGGAGCAATTTGGGGGTTCAGTATCTTGCTCAAGTCAAGTCAGAAATATTTTTATTTTATTTTTTTGGCCTTTTATTGCCTTTATTTGATAGATGCAGCTGAAGATAGACAAGAAAGGGGAGTAAGAGAGGAGACGACATGCAGCAAAGGGCCGCAGGTCGGATTCGAATCGATTTCTGCAGCAAGGACTCAGCCTCGGTACATGGGTCGCCAGCTCTAACCACTGAGCTAACCGGGCGCCCTTGCACAGAAATAATTTGACCAATTAATGACAAAGCAGTAGCATTTCACCAGTATGTGCTTTAAAAGCAATAACAATCATCAATCTTCATAAGAATCACACTGCTCTTTTAAACTGTGTTCTAACCAGGGTGAAGAGGCCTCTGAAGATATTTGTACTTCTAGCTGAGGACAACCCTAACAGGAGCTTCCTGGTAGCCCGAGAGGAACGCCTTCTGTATCCTCAACATCCCCAGTTCAAGTATGGCAAGGGATCTTCGCCACATATAATCCATTTGTCTCTCACTCTCACGTTTCCTGTGGCTTTCTACAGCTGCAGCCTGTTTAAAGCAGGGTGACCCAAATAAAGCAAGCATAATGAAAGAAGAGCTTGATGAAGATGTGACGGACATGTAATGCTTGTACTCGAATTGTTGTGCACTCAACGACGTGTGCGAGTGTGCACACAGAATCATAAACTATGTTTCTCTTCATATAAAAACACAGTCGGACGATATACAACAGTAGTGATTGTACAAATGATCAGCAGCCTTACTGGTTAATATCTGATGTTTGAGAAAAGGCTTATATCTGCTCCTAAACATCAACATCTCATCAAAAAAAATAGATTATTCAGCAGCTTTCTGTGCCTATAGATTAATATCAGCACTGGATATCTGAAGAGGACAGAGGTTGTATCACAGTCACCTGTCAGGAATCCCCAGCCTCTTAACACTTCTGTAGACTGACAGAGTATTGGCCACATGACGGTAGTTGAACCAGAATCTGGATGTGCACACCTGAGTATCAAACACATAAACACAAATGGGATAAATGAATGTAGAAAAACTGAATTAGCATGCACTCAGCAAAGATGTTACACCAATGAATACTCACCAGCACAGCCCAGTTGTTAGTATGGCCACTGCTGAAGAACTGCCCCGCATTATCCTTAAAAGTAGAGGAAGATTTATGCATTTATGTATTTTTTGTTAATCTGGTTTCGACTCGTGCAAGCAACCTGACTTCATCACCAAAACAGCTAGCATGACAGCACAGGAGGCTAACGTGGGAGCGACATTTCCGTTCAAATTCAACATAAAACAAGACAATTGGCGGGATATTCAAGCTGCATGGAAATAATAAGTTGCACTCACCTCGATGTTAATGCTGTTCGATAATAGGTATGTGGAAAATAAGCTCAATAAAGTGAGTATTTTCATTGTGCAGCACTGTTAGCTGTGTGCAACAAGGAACTGGAAACTGGTGGCTCCGCCCAGGAAAAGCTTCCGGTGTGGGGACCTTTCAAAATAAAAGCTGCGGTATGGAGAAGGTGAATGGAATAAAAAAAAAAAATTAAAATTATTGAAATTATTGTTTTCAAACTTAAAATAAAATGGATTATGGGTCAGGAGATCATTTTGGTCTACTCATGTACATAATCATACTAATTATATATCCTCCAATACATAAAGTGCCCATAAATTATACTGTAGCTCACATACACATTCACATACGGTAAATGCAAAGCACAAATACAATAAACAACATGAATGCAATGTAAAGTAAGAGAAAGAAAAAATAAGTAAATAAATAAATATGCAAAACTCTAAAGTAGTTGAGAGGATCATTATAGTACAAATGTAAATCATATTAATTGATCTCATCCCTGTCTTTTTTTTCTTTTTTTTGTGGAAAATGTGGAAAAATATGAGATATTGGTTAAAACAATAGTGTTTTAATTACCTTAATACTGGATCAGTGCTCAAGTCAAGACTACTAGTAGAGGCTGTATGTGGTTAGCAGATGATGCAGCACGTGATTGGCTTATCGTTAAATGGACAGATAAGGAATGTGTCCGGAAGTGAACAAATCGATTTCAAAGCTAAAATTAAGAGAAGGAAGCTTTCAACTGTACTAAATGTTTTTATATTCCTACAAGGTCACCATCAGCCCCGAGTCATGTCACCCAAAATCAATTTAACACTTTTTTATTGTGTTATTACAATGATTGGTTTGGTGTTCTTTGAGTGGTTTTGCATTATGTGGCAAAGTAAGACACATACGGGTTAAAGTACACAGCCGACTTGTCTCAGAGTAATTATTTGGTTTCATACACTGATGAGAGAGAAAAAAAAAGCAGATATCAAATGAGGCTGACAGCCTATTCAAATGCCCTCCCTAGCTAACTGGTCAAGGCCATTGTAATGAGAAGTGACAGTGATATCAGGCAGCAGATGTCAAAATGCACGTCATATTACTGCTGAAGTAGCCTTGGGAGCCCTGCAGTAAAGTGAAGCTATGAAAAAAACATATCCTTCATGCAATTCTAATGTAACATTACAGCACAGCATGCAGAAGCTCTGGTGGTAACACAGCATCAAAATCAGTTTTGACACACAGCAGGCGCCTTAACTGGTCTGCCAACCGTTTAATCATCCAAACGTCTCCTTCTGTTGCTGTTTGACCTGCAGCATCGCTCCCTTTACCTACACAGGGCTCATCGTTTAATGCTGTCCTCCAAATGCATTACATTAGAAAATGAAAAAGCATAGTTCTCATATGAAATAGATCTCAGTCGCACAAATCCAATCATTATTCCATTTTCAATCCATAAATTAGCGTTGTACTGTCAGGCTGTTTTGTCCTCTGCAGTGACTGATTCATGTATGAAACGTTATTCAAATGGAGGGATCCTCGCTTTCTAACACACACACAATGGCACTGAACTAATCTAAAGTTGTTCAGTGATGTAACCAACAAGGAGACTCAAAGTCAACTGTCCAGTTGTCAAGAGGATTAGTGGCCTATTAGGATCAAATCCTGTGGGACAAACCAGGAAATCAAACGGGCCTATGTTGCCTAAAAAAAGCCCAGATCATGTAACCACTCAACTTTTGAACTGTTTCCATGCATAACCCAAACTAAAGATATACATTGTTATGCCAGTTAAGTGATGACCTGCAGCCAAACACACCCAGCTATGTTAAGTGGCTCTGGTGGATTTCATTGTTTCAGTCTGGGATTCGGTTAGTCAAATATTTTAGGTTGCTTGTGTTTTGGTTGTGGTAAAGTTATTTTCTATAGTTTTATTCTGTGGGGGAAAAAACACCCTAAAATAGTGCCAAAATGTTGAAGGTTCATTCTTGTACTTGAAAACACTGGGTTGAAAAGAAGGGATATAAAAATAAGCACAGCGAGGCTGTGAGACATGGTTAAAAGCCTTTGAAGCACAAAGCAAGTGGACCTTGTGTTTATATTTTCAAAATGGTTAAGGTTGCTTTATAAGGAAAACCAAAATATACACCCTAACCCAAACACCCCATTAAAAGCCCATATAGAGAATCCTAATTATAATGTGCATTGTCAATTAAAACATCATCACCAAGTTTCCAGACTGACTGTAAACTTGTGAACAGAGGCGGTGCGTGCGTTTTTTCTTTTTTTTTTTTCTTGGCACAGTGCGTAAACCTCTGTGCCAACGTCGAGGCAAACACTGAGTGAGTGCGTGCTGGAAGCGGAGCGCTGTAGGAGGGAAGACGGACGCGAGCCACGCATCCGCATCACAGAGGAGGAGGGTGGCGAGGTGGCATCGCCCGCAGGAATCCAGTTGTAAAGTCCACACACGAGGCAAAAATGCACTGAGGGGGATAAACTGTGTGGAGCTCGGTCGTTCACCAAAGATTACCTTACGGCACTGAGACATCTGAAGGAGAAAAATATAATAAATAAACGCTCCGGACAAGTTGTGATTTCAGAGGAAATCCGACTGGAGATGAATACCAACGATGCCAAGGAGTATCTTGCGCGGCGGGAGATACCTCAACTATTTGAGGTGAGAGATGGTGTGTGTCTGTGTGTGTGTCTGTGTGTATTGTGTTAATGTGCTTTTTTTTTTACACAATACACTTACAGATTGGTCTCATTCAGCGAGGCTTTGCAAATCGCCTGTCAGAGTCCTGATATGTGGGCTAATACAGCTTGTTATGGTTGATGGAGGAGCGAATGTGCGCGTCTCTCTGAAAGCGCACTTCTTGATTAAAGCAGTGGATGAATGAGATGGGAAACCCTACTGATTTATCATTTTACAAACTGCCTCCTAAAACTGTGTTTTTATAGTAATCACCATTAGTCAAGCTGTAATTACACAAAACAGACCGTTTCAGTCCCCTCGTTTGCATAATTTGCTTTTAATTGAGGTGCGAGGCAGCCTATACTGTTCTCAAATGGAGACTGCGTTGCTTTATCATGACAAATGGAAATGAATACTGTGACATAGTGCGAGAAATAAATCAAAAATATGCTCATATGGCACTTAACTAAAGGAATATTTGTGCTATATTGGTGGCAGGCAGGCACAAACATACTGTAAAGAATGAAAAGATGTCTAGAAATGAAGGATAGGATTAATGTAGTCTATACAGGAATATGATGGGAATATTATACCATTAAAAGTAACACATGCTATAAAGTACGATAAACCTGCATAAACTGTCTATTACGCACAGATAAATATAATAAAGTATCATTAGTGCTCCTGAGGGGATAGCAAATTGGCCCTTCCACTTAATTAGACTCAATCCCAAAGTGCAGTGCAGCTAATGTATGCAAGCAATCACTGCTTGTTTATTTACAGCCTGTTCAAATTACATTGAGCAGTGAAGTGACACATCATCATCAAAACTGCAGCGTAATTTCACTGCTTACAATTGCCTCCCGTATAAAGGTGTATTTACTATCAATCAACTAAATAAGCACATCAAATTGTTTTCCATTGGGAGAAGCTTTATGTGTTCCCGCTGCTGGTGGAGGGAGCTGTCAGTGAGGACGGGTGGAGATGGAGTCCCAGAGGAAGGTATTGTTTTGAAACACTCAGGGTCGAGGGGGACAAGTGTCACACAAACATACACTTGACTTGTGTTTTGGCTTGGAGTCTGTTCTCACATTCATCACAGTGGTTGGCTCTTTTCCTTGGCAGTAACAGGTCATCAGAGTTCTGTGTTTATTTGCCGGGCCGAGTCCAATTTCATGGGTTTTTTCTGACAAAAATGGGGATGTTCTGTCCCCCCGGTGGAGCCCCTCCAAGGCAACCAGATATGTGCTTCAAAACTTCACCTCATTAAGACGAGCTGTTCACCGCCGCCACACTGTCACAGAACAACACCTCATAACAAAGACGTAGTGATCGCAGAACAAACATTGTTTTTCTCCAGAGCCTGCTGACAGGTTTGATGTACTACCGGCCCGACGACCCCATCGACTACTTGGAGGGCTGTCTGAAGAAAGCCAGGGAGCTTGGTGGACCAGACAAGGTGCGGTGGGATACCTTCGTGGGCCAGGAGAAGAAGTCCCTTCCCCCTCTCAACGGTGGCCAATCACGCAGGTCCCTCTTCAGAAATGGTGAGCAGTGAATGCTGATTGTACAGGGTAGTAGAAACACATTAGAGCTGAAACAATTAGGGAGTTAACGGTCCAGTGTGTAACATTTAGGAGGATCTTTTGGCAGAAATGGAATATAATATTCATAGGTATGTTTTCATTAGTGTATACTCACCTGAATATAAAAATTATTGTGTTTTCATTACTGTTAAATCAAATGGTTTTGCTGGTCGCCTTCCTTAGAGACCACCACGTTGAATCCAGAATACACCAAACATTGGCTGTAGATTGGGATTTTCACGTTTTTGTGAGTTTCTGTTCTCATTCCCAGGTCGCCAAATACAAACGTGAGTGGTGTTCGGTAGATTGCAATCTGTAACTTCGCCACTAGATGTCACTAAATCCAATCCAAATATTCTTTAGGTTGTTGTTAAAGACCTGCAGGCTCTCATTCTCTCTAATTCTACTCATTGGAAGTCTGGTTCATATTTGTCTGTTTACTTCTTTAATTAGGGGCAAAGAAAAGGCTGTCTGCTAGGAGCCAAAATGTATTTTTTGGCATTTGACTTCTATTTTTTAGGGCACTGGCAGCAGTACATCATCATCTACTACATAACCGCGACCACAGCGGCTCCCTGTTTCGACAGGAAAGGGTGTGTTGACATTTTGTATTGTACCCTCACAAACCCCGTTGTAGATAACGCTGTTAAAACTACTTTTGGAAACACTAGTAGTAAAAGACTTTTAGAGCGTGGTGAGATAGGAGGCTTTTTTCTGCTGTTTGAAGCGCAGTTGTGTGCATCATTACATCATTGGCACATGCTTTTAGTTTCCAAATTGTGCCAGAAGCCTTTGTTGGGATACCAGAGCACCCACGAACACAACACGTCCAAAACACCAGCTACATTGTTTTGAAGCATCCACTGCTGCTTCCAAACCTGCAATGTTCAAAAACAGAACCCAGTGTGCAGATCTCAGCCTCGAACACAACAGTACTGCCTTCACTGACTTGTGGATTTGTTGGCAGCCTGTTACCATACAGTAAAAGACAGTGTGGTTAATCATTCACATGAGACCAAAAATGCTCTCCATTCATCAGTTATCTATTCCAGCTGTGGTTTCCACTGGGTCCAATCAATGTGGGAAGGACTGCAGATGCAAAACTTAGTTTGAATGTGCAGAGGAAAGTTGACTTCAACTACGGCTCTCCTATGCTAATGACATTAGCTATTTGCATTCTTTCAAGTCTATTTTAGAGTCAAACATTTACTTCTTTGTTTGATGATTTGTGTGAAGCAAGGCAGTAACGTACACAGGAACTACCATGAGAATAAAATAGAACAGAGTTACGTGTGTGTGAGTACAAATATGTTCACCTTTTAGATTACAGGCTTATCACTGACGCCACACAATCATGCCGACATGAAGAGATGATTTTTAGAAAAGAAAAATCTTTACAGTCAAGACGTGCATCCCACTTCTCTTAATATATTGTTAAAAATGCATGCAGGCTTTGCCAGATGCTTAGCTGCTGGGAACTGCAGCCTAATCAGAGACTACTGTGTCCTGCGATTCGCCTCTCGGCTGATAGCTGAAGCTCAGATCTGTCATGTTTCAAAACGTTTCCTGGAAGGGTGTGATGCTTTTCGCTTATTATCTCGGCCTCAGTGACTGTTCAATGTGTTAGAAATGTTTAAGGGGTAAAAGCAAACCTTTAGATTCAGGCAGGTAGGGCAACATTAGCTTTTGCAACCTTCTGTGTGTTCTGATCTTAACAAGCTCTTGTGTGTTTTGTTCAGTTTCACCTCATCTCTGTCCTCGTCAGACTGAATCTCCAGTACATATATTGTCAGTGATAGAATAGCATCACCAATAGCATTCTCATCCTTACAATACTGTGGTTTTTTATGTGAAGTATAGCATCTCTGCTTCCTTGGAATACAGTTATTTGTTATTCATTATAATCAATGCTTTCATCACCAGAGACAGTAGTATAATTACTGAAGTAAATGAAGCATTGAATTCATCACAGTTTTACTTTCTTGTTGTTTTTTTCTGCACCTATAAAGTCATCGACAGCACAAAATTACAGCAGGATTTGTCTGACAAACTCGTAGATCATGGATGAGTCACTTTCTTTCTTAGATATTTAACTGTGAACTTAAGGCTTTGAAAGTAAATATTTCAATACTCAAGACAAAAGCAGACTAAGTGGTTCTCATCTATATCTTTGTGTTTGTGTGTGTCTGTGTGTGACAGTGTTGCCCGACAGTCCCAATTTTCCCTACAGACGGTATGACCGGCTCCCTCCCATCAGCCAGTTTTCCATCGAGAGCGACTCGGACCTGTCGGAGACGGCGGAGCTCATAGAGGAGTACGAGGTGTTTGATCCCTCCAGACCGCGGCCCAAAGTCATCCTCGTCATTGGTAAAGGACCAGCACAACACACGAAAACACAAACACTACAACTATAAATATGAAGTGCCCTTACACAACACAAGAATGGAGAAACTGAGGCCAAAATAAAAGACAGTCTATTTACAGTTTGAAGCACTCATCTGGATTCCTGCTGACTCATGTTTTCCATTAGATGAGACAAAGTAAAGGTCCTTCAATAAGTAAACAGGGCAAAACAGTGTAACCAGTGTCTCTGTAATGCTTCTGATGAGAACTTTATTCATTTATATAAAAGGGTCAACAAAAATACAAAGCAGAAGTTTATATTTGCCTCGCTTATCTAAAAATAAATAGCCTGGATGGGAATCTACGAATCGGGAAGTGTGTGTGTGTGTGTGTGTGTGTGTGTGTGTGTGTGTGTGTGTGTGTTGTATATACACAGTGTGTTTTTCCTGGTATTTGAACGTAGCTCCGCCTCGCTCTGTTGATATCAGCGGGGGAGATCTTCTTGCATGTCACTCACTGTGTTAGACACTCACGCTCTCCTAATCTGATTTCATTGATGGGCGGGCATTAACCTGTCAAATGCATTCATTAATCCTATAAATTAAGTTCGGCAGCTGTTCTATAAGAGTAATGCTGGTTGAGCCGGACCAACAAAGACTGCTATTTATAAACCCTCTTGAAAATAGTTTATTTAAGGTTCCCATGTCTGTTAAAAAGCTCTTAAAAACCCCTCTCTGACAGCCTTCTGCTACAGCGTGTTTTGCTTTTTGGTGTGTACCTGAGATGTTCACACCGTCCATAGTGTGGATGATAGTTTTTTATCCTTGCAGCACAAAGCCAGTTCCTATCTCGTCTTTGTGAACACATTGTGCCCTATTTTAAAGGGAAAACAGGATGGCAGCAGCTGTCATCTCTTTGGAGGATTGAGGCAAATGTTTTGTCTGTCAGGTTTGCAGAGACAGACAGACTGACAAAGACACGTGTGGTCAGGAGGAAGCTGGGACTGGGTCATAACAAGTTCATTATGAAATACTCAGATGTAAGATAAAGTGCACATTTGCTAAATAAATGTCAGGGTATCTCTCTCTTTCTCTATACTGCAACAATTTCTAAGAATATTTTCTTAAATCTATGGGTCTTGTCCCTAATATCATGACTAATTGCATTTCGGTGTTCCAGTTCGAACATCCCAATATTGCACACATCTCACAACGCTCACCGGGACACTTAAACTTAACAGAGCCATTGTTAACATTATACGTTGCACCTATGAAAAAGTAAAAATGTCAGCAATGAAAAATATGTCCCTTACAAATAGAAATAAAATCAAAATCTCAGCTTGGAGCCAAACTAAGTAGGAGATGACAGTCTTATAATAATTATCCTTTTTGAAAACATCAGTGTGCTAGATTGTGCACATATTTTAAAGGAGCAGATCAACATTTTGGGAAATGCATCTACTCTTGCCGAGAGCTAGATGAGAAGATCGATATCAATCACTCATCTGTCCATTAAGCTACAGCCAAGAGATGGTTAGCTTAGCTTAGCATAAAGACTCTAAGCCCTCTAAAGCTGACTTGTTGCCCTTGAACAAAGCCAAGCCTAGCATTTCCCCCTTCCAAAAACATGAGCGTGGTATTGAGCTTCTCGAAGGCAATTGGGCGTATTTGTGAAACTATCCCTTTTAAGTTGAAATAAGTTTATACAGAATTATGAGTGGCACCCTCAATTCCCCTTTAACCTTTTTGGTATTGAGCAGCAGTACTAAATAATAACACTAGATTTGACCAGCCTTTTGCTAACAACTATCAGCTGACAGAAAGTTGATATTAAATGAGTTTCACATGCTTTTTCTGTTCAAACAAACAAAGCAACCATGAATAATAGACTAAGCCTCATCTCTAAAGGCCTCAGTATGCTTCAAAGGAACTAGGTCGTATGATGTGTCGTTCCTCCACAGCGGGGTAACGAGCCTGCTGTCATAAAAAGTAGTGTCACACAATGAATTTTTTAAAGGTGAAGAAAGGTGGACAGTCCCCACTCATCGTTATTCATTGTCTTGTACTTGGTTATACACATGGAAAAAGACGGAGGTAGTTGTGTAAAGGCAGAGACAAGAAATTCAGAGAGAAGTCCAAACTGTGCCTACAATGACACCTCTGCATACCTGACTAATTGCTGAGTAATGATTGGTGGATCAGGCATAGCTTCAACATTTCCAAATGTTAAATTCATCCCATCCAAACCTGTCCAATTTCTGATTATTAACCCCAACTCTAAGACGAATGCAGAGACAGAATACCTGTAGTATACTTTATACAGAAGTACGATCATCATCGGAATTCAATAGACCAAATGATATATTAGTGACCAGTGATTTGTAATCTTCTCCTCATCCCTAAAAAAATTTATCATTTCTGACAGTAACACCACGATGGAATAAATTACCCACACAGCTTGTTCTCCGACTAATTTCACTTCACTCTGGCCTGGCTTTGAACCAGGAGCGGTTGGAGCGGTTGACATTTCTATGGTAACAGTAGCATCTCCTCCTGAAATCCTGGAATGAAACACAGTTGTCTAACAGCAAAGCAACATTCAGGTTGTCAGATGGCTTTTACAGACACTTGTCATGCCTTTCACGAAGTGACAGCTCGTATAGTGTGCCTATCTCACACCATTAAGACATAAATGATGACTAGATTCCTTATGGGCAAATTCTTTCTAAAATTTCAACTTAAAGACAAGCAGGAAGGAATTATGATATTTTTATGTGTCAGATTCAGTTGTTACGGCTAACGTGACCTATACAGATAAAGATGTTTAATAAACTATGCAGTGTAAAGCAAAGAGCTGTCTTCTCCTGTTGATGCTCCTCTGCACATCCTTTAAAAAAAAAGAGAGGATTTCTTAGCAAATGTAGGAGGTTCACACATACCTTTGTCTCATCTCCCCCCCATCATCCAACCCGCCCCCACATGCCCTTCTCCCCTGCATACATTTGCAAAACACACAGAAGCAGTAACACACAGTCATGCAGAGACAACCACACAGTCACAAAAATGGGCAAACACAAGCAGACACACACACACACACACACACACACACAAAGTCTCACATAGTCTGGGTTTCTCTCACTAATACACACTAGCGCCTACGCTAACACACCCACACACATAATGTTTCACACTCACACAGACACATTTCACACACACGACAAAATCTCTCCCAAAACATCAACAGCTCTCTCTCTCTCTCTCTCTCTCTCTCTCTCTCTCTCTCTCTCTCTCTCTCTCTCTCTCTCTGTGCCTAGGTGGCCCTGGCAGCGGCAAAGGAACACAGTGCTTGAAGATTGCAGAGCGCTACGGCTTCCAGTACGTGTCTGTGGGCGAGCTGCTGAGGAAGAAGATGATCCACAACGCCACCAGCAACAGAAAGTGGAGCCTGATTGCTAAAATCATCACCAACGGAGAGCTGGCACCACAGGTAGCAGAGAAACAGAGGGGGAGAGGGGGTGACAGTGGAGGAGTGTGTGTGTGTGTGTGTGTGTGTGTGTGTGTGTGTGTGGACACAGGGAGAATATCAGAGGAAGGATGAGCGCTGAGTGTGTCCAGTCACTCGCAGGTCATTATCTCAGTGTGCATGTAATAAGGGCCTAATTACCAGCATCCAAATCACAAGCGTGGTGGAGAGAGGGATGCTTATCCATCTTATTAGCATCCTTCTCTGCAAGATAATGACTCTGCTCAGAAAGAAAATGGGCACAGACCCCCTGTGGTTGTTTGTACTCCAATCATTTAAGCACTATGTATATAATGCATATCATGCCCCTTTCAGTATGTGCTTGAAATTACAACTTTGATTTAAATTGTACATAATCAAGGACAGAGGGAGGACTAAACCATAACACAATTACATAAATAACTATTGAGGCAGTTTTCATGTTCAAGCCCATTAACTATGAATCAAATAGAAAATGCATTGCTGCTAATTATTTGCTAAAGACAAAGCCTACATGTTTTTTGAAGGATTTCCTTTTCATCTATTTAGGTATAAAAAAGCCACATGCAGAGACTTGAAACTGATTGCCAAGATAATTTAATTGCCTTTATTTATTTATTTTTCTTCAAAGAAAGATCAACACATGGTGATGCAGTTGGATTTCAAACCCATAATGTGGGATAAAATACTAACTACACTTAAAAGCATTTGACTATATCCATCTATAGATAGATGGATAGATATAGGCTTTCTTAAGTGAATGGAGCTGCCTCAGCTGTCATTTCCATCATAGTCAACCACCTGTTATCATGTGACCATATTTCCATGCACTGTAAGTTTAAATTGCTGAAGAAGGCAGTGGGATATAGGCAAAAGCTCTGGAAAAATCTAGTAAATGCACCTTCTATCTAGTAAAAATGAGTTTAGAATATTTTACCTCACATACAAAAAAATGTGTTGACTCAAGACCAAAAATCTTTTTATAATGCAAGAAATTAGAGGACTTATTCTTTTTGTTTGTCCTTCAGATTTACTTTAATGACAATTAATGCAACCTTATAACTCTTAAATATCAGGTGTTGGAGGATAAGTCAATCCACCATTACAAATACTTTTCTAACACATGAGACAACTTTAACAAAAAATAAAGATGAAATATTTACTGCGATTGATTTCATATCATGGGCGGCAAATTTCAACTCTCTAAAGCTTAATTTCAGTAGTCTCGTGACATGAACAAACACCAGCAGGAAATTAATAATAGTGATAACAAACTTAACTGTATAGCTCTTCAAAATAAAGTTTATTAAAGAGGAAGAGGTCCAATTAACGAAGATTATCCAAGTTTATGAAAAATTGTTTTTAGTAGAAATCTACAGGCAGTCACTGAGGTAGTGGTTTTAATAGTGGACCAGGAGACTGTTAGCAGACAGTTGTTGCAGAATCAAGCATTATGGGCACAATGCTCACAAACGTACGCTGCAGCCGGACCAGATCGGAATTCAATCTAAAACTTCTTTTGTGCTTTAAAAATGTGCAAAGCAGACATGATTTTAAATTAGCTTAAAGATGCAAAACCACCAGTCTTAATCCCATATTATATGCATTCTCCATTCACCTGGGTCATAGTCACATTTAAATTAAAGTCCTTGTAAGCCTCTTTTGGCTTCAGTGCAGTGCATGGCCCTGTGTAGACTAATGGTGTACGTATGTCACTACTGCTACTTTGGTTAGTGGTTTGGATTCTATAAGGACCAGATAAACAAAGGATAAATCAGGGAGATATCTTATATACAAAATGGTATGAAACAAAGTTAAGTGAGTGATTAATTCTGGTTGTCTGGATACATTTTGATTTACATAATGAAAACTCCTGAGAGGGTGGTGTCAGCATAGGCACCATGATGCATTGTTGTTGCAGCCAGGCACCTGCATTGTGACTGGCAGCTCTTATCTCGGGTCGCCACTCATGAATTATCTTCAGTTAACTGCTCACCTCATCAGTTATCATCTCTTTCTTGCTTGTCTGGCTCGACATCGCCCTTGTCCCTTCTGGCTGTTCACCAGCTGTCAGTCCAGGAACCGGTGAGATAAACACCAAAGGAGGCCAAGCTGCAGACATATTAGATATGATAAAGTGACTTGTGGCTGTTAGGCATTTCATTTCCTGCCATGATTAGTTCGAATTTGGTTTCTTAATGATTCTATATGAACTGATGAGAGGAAGAGGTAAAATACCCTTGCGTGTATGCGAGCACTGACGACAGCATTGCTTGTGTAAATGTTGTTTTATGATGTGTTGACTGACACGCTGACTCAGGGTCATTTCATTGATTTTATTCTCCCCTTTTATACCGTATGATCCACATAGCTATATTAGTTATCGATTTAATAAAGTGTTTGGTTGACTAACACCTTTCTTCATGCCAATAACAGAAATCAACGCCTGATTTAATTTTGTTAGCCTGTCAGTCAATAGTACATTTTGGGTGTTTACTTTGGGAGTTATGTTTTTAGGAGTAAATTAAAGGAATAGTTTAATATTCTGGAGTAATCTGACAATATATATCCATCCGGTAATTATGAAGCTACAGCTGGAAGACCGGTAGCTTAGCTTAACAGAAAGACTGGAAACAGGGTAAAACATTCAGTCGGGTCTGATGTCACTTATAATGTGTTAAGTAGTGTTTTTTTCTTGCCTTTGACAAAGTCAGACCAGCTGTTTCCCCTTGTTTCCAGTCTTTATGCTAAGCAAAGCCAACCGCCCGCTGGATGTAGCTTTTTTTAGCGTATACACATGAGTTTCGGTTTTCTACTATAACCCTAGAAAGCAAATAAGCATTTCCCAGAACATCAATATTCCTCCTTATTAGTATTTCTATGATGTAGACATTTTTGTCTGTCAGTAAGCTGAGGAAAAAGTCATTCATGCATTTCTTCTTGTAGCCTGGAGTACTGTAACTGTGCTCAGCTGTGCCCTTCAGTGCTGCAAAATTAACAATGACAATAGGAATCCGTCTGTCTGTCTGTCTGTCTGTCTGTCTGACTGTCTGAAGAGCCATCGTTCGTCCGAATGACTTCACACTTGGAGGGTGTACGGGTTAAAAACTGAGGGAGTTCAGGGTCGAGTGTGAAGTCGATCGGATCTTGAGAACGCTGCAAGCACCACTTTGGGGGGCCATGGAATAGACCTTTTTCACAGCAGCCATACTGATATGAAATAGTTTATCCAATTATTTTATATGTATGTATATATACTATTCCTACTATTTCATGTCAAAATGGCTGCTGTGAAAAAGGTCTATTGGCCCGTTCTGAAGAGGCACACCCTGTACAGGCATTGCATTAGTGATTCAACAAGAACAAACACACAGTACCACTTCACTGATTCTCAGCCAACAATCAAATCAACTTGAAGTTCTTGGTGTTTGTCTGTAACTCGCTGAGAGGTCATGTGACTCAGTATATTTCTGAACTTCTGTTCCCTCAGAAATCCCACAGGTCTCCTCACTAGAGGATCTTGGATGTCTAACAGTCGGGTCTAAAATTAAAGACTCATAGCACTTTTGCTTTCTCATCATCAGACTGTGGAAAAATCTTTATGTTTAGATGGTTCAGCAGCACCCAGTGCCTTTTAAAGACCCAATTTTCTTCACAGCATAATAAAAACTGTGTACATATTCCATACTAGATACTACAATATTAGTTAGTATACCAGAAGTTTATGTACTTTACCAATGAGCTGAATTTGGAGCAAGACATTTATGCCCTACATAATTATGTTGAGTGGAAAAATGTTCCGTATGTGTTCATACCCTACCCGACTTTTTGATGAAAATGTGTCGCATATGTTAGACTGCACGTGGGTGAGATTTTTGACACTTGAATGATTTATTATCATTGTGCATCATCTACCAGTACTGTTCACTATAGAGTAAACTACTGAGTGCACTGTATAGGGAAAAGGGAGATATTTCAGATGCAGCTTTAGTGATGATTCTCTCCAGCTGCTTCTGCTGTATGATTGCTGGTATAGTGTTAGATTAGATTAGTTTGTCTCTGCAGGAGTCAGAGATGATTGTTTGATGCCTTGCATTCTTGTGAAAGCTCAGAATTTGAGCCATGCTGTGGATCAGAGGCCTTTTCTTAGATTCTCTTTTCTCATTTTATCTTGCACAGATACATTAATCTGTTTGATGGAATCTAGATTAGATTTAATCTCTGTGTAGTCTGTCGGGCCACTGCTCTTATTCTGTGGGTGGATGGGGGAAATTAAACGTCTGTGCTACTCAGCGTTGGGCACAGCCACAGATGTTATTTTTAGATCGAAAGCATTGCTCACGTATCTCTGCCATATCGTATGATGCATTCTGCCTGGAGAAATACATTCGAACATGCTGACCTCCTCCATCCAGGAGGAAGTAATTGATGCTAAAAGATGCTGGCACTCTGTGGCCTCAAGTACAGTCAAAACAGTCGTTCTGCTGCCTTCAGATATATTAAAGTACAATTGTATAAACATATTAATTATATTGTGGAATAACTCTCATGGCTTCCCATTCACCTTATTTATGACTCTAAATCATACTCATTCATTTTCAAGGTGTTTTAACTAATCTACAACCTTGATGAATCTACATTGCAACAACATTAACGAAACTAATCTTCCTCATGCCATTGCTGAAAGAGCAGACTGTAATTATAATTACAACTGTTAACTTTTTTTGCTTTATAATATGTAGCTGAAATGTTCTAACACTAGTCGCCCACTTGGAGGACTGCTCCCATTGTTTGTGTGAAGTGAAATGTGAGATTGGAAAGCCAGAAATTCAAGCATCTGGCTAATTGTTGAGTTATTTGTACTGATCAAAAAAACCCAGTGAATTTCCTGCTGGTTTGATGATAATTTGTTATCAAGCAGTAGAAATCTTGCTTTGACATTTACACACAAACTGGGGAATTGAATGATGATAATTATGAATCATGTTGCTTTCACTGTTCTCCAGGAGACAACAATAACTGAGATCAAGCAGAAGATCATGAAGATCCCAGAGGCTAGTGGTATTGTCATAGATGGCTTCCCTCGAGACGTCGGACAAGCCCTGTCCTTTGAAGACCAGGTGAGTCCAAATGTGGAAGATTGCCTCTAAAAGTGTTTTCATACTTTGTCCAGATGCTTGAGTCCCTACTTACAGAAGCCGAGAACAACCGTGCTTGCAATAGTTTTTTTTTTTCCCGATATCCTGGGTTAATTTATCTTATATTCTCAAGACAACCAAAGGCCAATTTCTCAAGGTAACGAAAATATTTATGATGAGAAAACGACTTTTGTTTTGTTTTGCGATCACAGGATAATTATTGAGAATTTAAAAATGAGCGTTTGGTTCATTTGATTACACCTGATTTCAGCCTTCAAGATCACCATCAGACTGTAGGGGAGGATTCATTACTAAACTCCACAGAGTTGTTACCAGAATGTACATCTGAGAATTAATATAAGCTATGCAATACTGGCGAAGATTGATATTTATTGAATGAGCTCAAACATTCATGCAATGCAATGCAATGCTACTTTTTAATGCACTTTTTCCTGGCTGATGGCTCATTTTGGTCAGTATGAAAATGAATATTAACTGACACATTGCATGTCATCCATGCATTGTCCATTATGTTGAACCAATTGATATGCTATCCATGCATGCTGCCAAACAACCATTTGTTTTCTTGTGATATGGGGTTGATTATCCCATTATAATTAACGTGTGATCTCAAGATAACGGCATTTAAAAGAAGAACTGCGACCACATTCCCGGCTTCTATACATTCTTAAATATTTCAGAATTTTAATGTTTTCTTCGTTCAAATTTAAAGTAGACACTGCAGACCAAAACCTTGGGGCTATAATTGTTGTTTTATGTGATAACAACCACCGTTAATGTGTCATTTAGACACATAATATGTTCAACAGCATATGTAGCAGCTGGCTTTCACAAGCAAACAGTCTCAGTACAGAAAGAGGGACGCCGCCCTCAGTGAAGGATAAGGAAAAAGGGTGTGACATGTAAAGGGTGCATAATATTTTTGTAATCTAATTATAGCATCTTGAATAGAGATTCCTAACTATATTGGACACCAAACTACTGTTTATCTCCCTACTCACTACAGTACAGATGTTTCAATCTGTGACCGGCTGGAACACATGACATTTTTCTTTTGGCATCCAGACAACTTTCAGAGTCACTGTGGTTATTTTTTGATGTAGACACAGTCAAGGTTCTTATCAGTCTGTCCAGCACACACAAAGAGTCATTCAAGTGGCACCTGCTACAAGCCAAATATGTAAATGAGTTGGTCGCACACCACACACTGGAGCTGCTATCCCTCAGGTTTTATCTCCAATAGCGTGAGATCTAAGGATGGCAGCTTTGGTTGCTCTGTGATCTGAGTCACACCGCCAGGGTTTGATGTGTTTGATATCAGGTGCTGCACAGCACCTACGGGTCACTGTCGGGGCATTTAGACTCTTTTACAAGTTGTAAATATTGAATCAGTTTATAAGTTAATCTGAAAAGTTTTGCTCCTCAACTAAGTGATCTCCCAACTGTGACAAATTCAAATTTAAAGTAATTATAATATTTTTGCATCTGTTCTGCATCTGTGCCAGTTGAACTGAGCATGAACACATCATGTTTGTGGAAAGAACATATAAACTTAAGGCCGTTTCCCAAAGCACTAGTGACTGACATCCAGCATTGTTAGAAGACAGACACAATGTCAATTGTTTCTCTGTCAAATCATTGATAATGTTTTCCTTTGTCAACAAGCCTACGTAGCATTGGTTATGTAGCGCTGGCAATTTAATCTGTCTGTATCTTTACTATATTGAACATTTGTGAGGACCCATCATGCTGTTCAGTTTGTATTCCACTTGGAAAATGGAAACTAGTTAACTAGCCTGGCCTGCTAATGTCAGCACTGATTCAACACCTCATTCGACACTCATCAGCAGATCCTGCACAGCTCATGGTTGTATTTATCCCTATTGTTGTTGTATAAAGTAGAACTGGATAAAGTGTTTGAGGCAGGGATACGTTCTTCGCTATGAAAGCAGGATGAATGATGAATGCATTGGCAAATGATGAATGCACACACACCAGAGACCAGAGACAGAGCCAGCTAACTTCTGGTTTATCCTTCCACTAACTTGAATGTGGATAAAATTATTTAATCATGCGGCACTTTCCAAATGTTATCGGACCAAATGGATCAGATTCTGTTCGTTAAACGAGTCATTTGCCAGGGTTTTGACGTTCCAAAAAATGTATTCACCATTTCACAGCTGCTTCTTTCAAAATGTAAGTCGTAAAAGTATTTTTGAACGGCTGAAGTTTTAATAACACAGTCTGGCCACAATGTTAAATTAGCCCAGTACATTTCCTTGGAGCTTGGCTCGTCCCACATTACAAAATATGGGCTGGTCTTGCTAGCATAAGCTCTGTTGGACTTTAAATTAAAACCCCTAGAATACTCTTGAGGACCCCTTGGGTGTTGTTGATATAATGAGGAATGGTGTAATTTCATTATTATCTAATTTATCAGAACTTATATGAAGAAAAAGTTTCACATGAGAATTTCACTATAACAGATATAACTAACTGCAGAGGTGCTTTTAGTTCAGTTCTAGTTCAGAAACATAAATTTCCCCATTCGGATCCCTAGAGCAAACTCTCAACAACAGGCTCTGCAGCCTACAGTGATGTTTCAGAGGCCAAGCTTTCAAAAGTACCGACTGATGGTATTTTTGTATTAATGTTTTATTTTTACATGGACAGATAGACTTTGTGGCGTTATCAATCAGACATTTGCATCTGAAATGTTGATATAAACCAGTCAGTGTGCTTGCAGTGTCAGGTTGGCTGTTTGATCTGGTCTGGAGAGTGTAATATTTTATCACTGCAGTCAGCATTGACCTTGAACTCACACAGTTTGTGCTCATAATGCCAAATGAAACACTGTCTTTCCATTTTGCTGCCCAGTGACTGCTCAATGTTCCTGAAATGAACCAGTAGTGGCACATTGAGAAAAGGACTTTGATTGGCAGACTGGCTCACTGTCTTTGTGTTGTCAAGCATTCGTCCTACTAAAGTGTCCTTGAACACCTGGCAGCTGCCATTCTGGATAAGCTGATCCATTTCATGGGGATCAATAAAGTGCTACCTGCCAGTTTCCTAAGACAGAACAAGAGTGCATTTTTAGAAGCCATTTTCTATGAAAAGTCGCAAAAGCGACTGAAAACATCAACGTCAATATCAATTTGCAATGCAAGGACAATAAACAATAAAAAGCCCTTATACAAATGCTATTCTAACAACACAGAAGCTATGATATTGTATAGCATCGTTTTTGCCTAAACTGGAGCCCCCTAATGGAAATTTATCCTTTACAATTGAGTGGCCAATTATGTGACAAAAAGGTCGATTGCTTTTAGAAGGATTGATCCCTTTTATCACATTTAGACTTGCTTAACATTTATCAACTTTTAAATGAGCACTCAATGACTTTTAGAGTGCGTGGGGAATGGGTCCATCTGGTTCAGTGCGAGTAAATCCTGACCTTTTAATCTGGTAATCTTAGCTGCGTTACAGGGAACGTGGGAGAACATCAGAGTCTCAAGTCCTGTTTGGACAGGATTAATATTCGAGAAAGAGGTGAATATTTTGACAAATTACAGGGGGTCGTTCATAATTTACAAGGATACTGTTCAAGAAAAAACGTAACCATAAAAATGTATTATAAAAGGTTTGTTATTTAGAGTAAAATTCTGGAATTTGTCCATATAGTCCCTCCTGGAACGCACTGACTTGTGTTGTTTGATGACTTTTGTTTGGTTTTGATGAGTCTAAATGAGTTTAGAAATATAGGAATGTTTCTTCTGTTTCTTTCTGTTTGCATGTGCAGTTAATCACCAAAGATGTGGAACTTAGAAGTCTAACTCTTTTCCCTGACTTAAGCTTGTGAGGATACATTTAGTGGCACTGCCCACAAGCTCAATAAATTGAATGCTTAGTTTTGAATATTATACATGGTTCAGTTCACGTCAGTTTAAAAAGGGTTAAATTGAAGATCCACATAGCCACAGGACAACCTCATTTCACGTTTCTGGTTTGAGTTATTTTTATGCAAAGAAATGCAGTGACGGGTAATCTTGGAAAAAAATATTCTAGGGAATTGGTTGAACTTGCAAAACTCCTGGAGGGAATAATATTTATCCATGTGTGTCCGTCAGTGTGTAAAAGAACGTTTTCTGCACCTCTGGACATAACATAACCTGCTCTTCCATTTATAGCCACTCTGCCACGGTTGCTGCACAGAGCTTGTTCGACCCCTTCTGCAGTGAGCGTAGCCATCGACGGCCATGCGTTTTGTTAATGTGTCACTTAAGGAAGCACTGAAGTAGAACATGAATGTAAATATCAAACAGTATTACAGTCTACAAACTGCGGCTCCCCATTGGCTCTGAATGGTGATTAAATGCGTGTTTGCAAGCTCCTGCAGGGGAAACCAGATGGGGCTCTTCTGGAGGTAATGTTTAGTGAAAGATGGTGCTGTGCTTTATCTCGTCATCTTTCCCGTTAACACATGGACATGGCTTGTTAATGTAGGCAACCATGGGCAATCAGTTGGCTGTATAGAGTCTACCTGCTCCAGTCGGTTACGTTAACCAGTGGCGCAAAAAGCAATCTCTCTCTCTCTTATTGTGTTTCTTATTCCTTATTTCACACCAAATACTGAGTGTGGCAAAGGTATGCACACACAAACATATGTTTATACATTCGCACAGTTGGAAGCATTAACACAATTATATGCACACAGAGAGAATTCAATCTGTCTGCTGTTGCATGCATTTAGTTATGGCAAGCTACCAACTCAGTTTTTAGTGCCAGAGCGTTGCATTACATAGAAATTATTCCATTGTGTCCCATGCAGTGTGGTTTATTTTAATGTTTTAATGTAATAGTTGAGTGAAGTTGTATGGGTGCATACATGGACACATAATAAATGTATTATGCCTACAGTGTGATTCATCAAGAACATTTTTTAAATTTGCTTTCAGTTGTTG